ATAACTCGAACAATTAACTAATTGACCAGTTAATCTTAAATTGACAAGAAATTAACATGAAAATCCCTGTAAAACTCTGGGAAGTATGCTCAATGAAGGAACTGACAAAACGAAATGTCTTATAATGACTACTCAAAGAGGAGTAAATGTTCAAACTAAATTGAGTAAATTTGCAAACACGATGTGTTAATTTTGTCTGAATTTGCACAGCTAATTGACTTGTTTGCACCTGTTTAAAGTTTATTTTATTAAAAATCAACGACTTGAGCCTTTATGTAGTAAATTTGGAAGGTGACAAAAATATATCATACAATGAATCCCATGTATATAGTACCGCCCTCAACACATATATGATATTCTATCTCAAAGCATTAGAACGAGACAAATAGTAGTTAGTTTTAAATATAACGAGAGCATTAAAAGGAGTTAATTCTTCTAGCAATTTTTTCAAATCACGTCCTCTTCGCTCCGCAGTACCAGCTGATTTACACAATTGTTGCTTTCTTAATAAATATTTTGCTTATATTGGTTCCACAAGCATAGATAATGTTTCCAGATCTAAAGAATGAATCCACATAATATTATATATAAGAATATGTATTAGATTAAGATGACTCAGAAATAATATTTTCAAAATTTTACTATATTCGGGACAATGGCATGTTTCAGAACATTTCTTTCTATGCTCAAAATATAAATTTTATTTATTGAAATTCATAAATTTCCAAAAAATTATACTAGAATTTAAGATGCAAACTTGCGAGCAGAAAAATTGCGAATCGATGATGGCTACTTTTCGAAGAGTGAGGCAGTATATTTCAAGTCTTCTATGAAGTATATTTAAAAACCTCACGAAAGCGATTCCAGCGCAGACGCTAACGGTCTGCATCCCACAGTGAGTATTGCTCGAAACATTTTTTGGTTTTTGCATCCGATGCATTATTAATTAAGCAAAATTTAAGATAGTTAACCTTCAGGATAAGAGTTATAGTTTTTATACCCTGAAAAGGGTGAAAAGGGGGGAATATCAAAGACCCTATAAAATATAAAAACAATATATATGATCAGCGCAATGGGCTGAGTGGATTTAGCTGACTGCCTGTCTGTATATACGCGACATAGCTCCTCGGTTTTTGAGATATCGATCTTGCACACGTCCTTTTCACCCCAAGGAGCTGCTCATTTGTCGGAAACGCCGTTATTGGATCAATATACCTTATAGCTACCATACATCTGACCAATCAAAATAAAGTCCTTGTATGGAACACTTTTTTATTTGACAAGAGATCTTAACGTAAATTGGTTAAGACCACTATGGCATACAGCTGGCATACAAACTGGCCGATCAAAATCAAGTTCTTGTATAAGAAATTTTTTTATTTAAGACAGATATCTTCACGAAGTTTGGCACAGGTTATTGTCCAAGACATCGTTACAGTATCCGAACAAATTGTTTACATCGAACAACTCTTGTACCATATATACATAGTTGCCATTCAAACTCACCAAAAAATCAGGATATAGATCTTTTTACTGCCTTTTATGCTATAAGAGATGCACCTGCGAAGTGTATTGTAGTCACACTGCAGGCAAGGTTAACGTTTTTCTTGCTTTTAGGCCTCAATAGATCAGTTCTATCTGCATTAGTCTATATCGTTCTTCTTCAAATGCTTCAATATTTTTCTATGTATTAGAATCAGTTATACCAAAATCGTATGAGTGGTCAATTAGTTTCTGTTTATGTGTTACTCTTCTCTTTGGCTTAGGTTTTTAGAGCCTAGAGTTCGACTGCAACCACCGAGTTTGTAAAACGATTTTGTAATTGATTTGATTAAGTTTATGAGTGTTGCTGTGGCCAAGCTTATAATTTAGTAAATTAAGGTTCGACGGATAAATTACTTATAGGCACTGCAATACTGAAGAGGAAGAGCACAAATTGTTTAATGACACATTAATAGAATAGAAATAATAGAAGACATATGTATACCGATAGTAACCCTCAATTACCGACAAAAGCTATTGTAAATGAAAGAAAATTATTGAAAATTTCCACGAACTCTATTATCTAATTAAATACTTAACGAGCGGACATTTTTATGACCATATACAGTAAACACACTAGGGGCACTTCTAACAAAACACACAAAATACAATGTAAGTACTCGTACAATATTGTTTTAACTGACTGCTACGCCTGCGCAGTGTACATATTTACTTAAACATATTTTTGCATACAAACAAATGTTTGTATGTTTGCGCGTGCAGCTAAAAGTCAATATTGCGCGCCCAAACCAACTTTGGTGTGACCATCCGGTCTTTGTTTCCACTGCAAAAGGGGCTTAGCAGCCCAAGTGACTTGTGCCTAAAAACAAAGGCACAACAAGCAGCGGCTAAGGCACTTTGCCACATTGGTCACAATGTCAGTGGCAATGCTGAAGACACACACAGCAAACACATCCATGCATGCGTATATGCGCATAGTTGAGCGGCAGCACAGCGAATCGCTGGACAGCGGTTGCTTCGGGCGGACACGTATTCGTAAAACTGTCTGCCTGTGTCTCTTATTTTTAGCTTCTAATTCTGAAAACTTTTTTTTCATGGAAATTTTACTGCACTGCATGTTAAATGCAACATAGCTCTTCATAGCTAGTGGAGTTGTAGTTGCAAGTGCGCATGCGCGCAATACAAACTTGAAACGCGCTTGGCCATTTCGTCGCGCTCGTGAATTGCGTGCGTCGCCGTTCAACGTTTGTGGCGGCGCAACAAATCGCTCATATGCACACGTACAATGCAGGCGGTGAACAGCTGAAGCATGATTTTGAGCTGTGCAATGCCTGTTGTTGTTGTGATGTTTGTGTTGTTTGTTTGGCTTTTTTATTGTTGCTGCGCGCGGCATGGAGTGGACGCACGATCGCACACAAGTATATGTAGATGTGTGAGTATAGTACTTATATATATAGATACATATCTGCTCTCCCTCTCTCTCTCTCTCTCGCTTCGGCAGGCTCTGCCTGTCATTTGTCAGCTATGCCACTAATTCTAGCTATTCGTTCTGCTTTCAACATTGTTCCTGCAACAACGAGCCATTTGGAATTCTGCGTTTCTCTTTGTAGGATTACATGTAAGCGCATACATACATACATACAACATTTATATATACACACATACATGCGAACATATGTATGGATATGTGAAAAGCATATCGCTTTTTTTTTGCTTGAAATTCTTCAACCAACTTGTACATGCATGTATGTGTGTGTTTAGCAAGAGGAAAAATTACATTCAACTTGGGTAGGGTCTTTAGCTTCAAGTGCTATTGCACTTAACCACGACGCGTTGGAAAACTTGTTTCGTACAATTCGGTGCTGTTGTTGGTGTCGGTGTCGCGCTGTTGATGTCGCCCCACTGCTGGTGCAACGAGTAGTTGTTCTTCGTGCCCCCTGCCACTCCTGCCCACTTTTAGACGTTCGAGCTTCCGCTACAGCTACGACGACGAACACGTGTTGTTACTATTTTTGTTTTTGTTGTTTCTGTTATTTCTTACTTTGTTTTATTGTTGTTGTGATTTTTCTTTATTTTGTTATTTTATTCTTATTGTTGTTGTTGTCTTTTATTTTTTGTACTGTTGGTGTTATATTTGTTGTTGTTGTTGTAATTATTGTTGTTGCTATTATTTTATTGTTGTTATAATATTTGTTGCTGTTGTTAATTTTAATGTTATTGTTGTTGTTGTTTATTTTAATATTATTGTTGTTGTAGCTATTATTTTTTCTTCTTGTTGTTGTTATCGCCATCGCATTGCATTGGCATTTTTCCGTTAAGCACACAATGTTGTTGTTGTAGTTCATATATCTGCTTGTAGCATGCTGTTAAGCTGTTGTTTTTGTAGTTCTTGTTGTTCGTCTTGTTATTTAACAACAATTTAGCGTTGTGGCAGCGGCAATGTTGTTATCTTGTCGCCGGCGTTGTTATGCAGTTTTGCAACTTTTTTTTTCGGCTTTTACAGTCTTACACGAATACTTTTCGATCACACTGTTCGCTCATGCAACAATTATTTTAAACGAAAAAAAAAGACTCCGAAAAAAAGAAGTTAAAAATCAGCAAAAGTAAATTGCATCTGAGTGGCAGAATGAAACTGAAATTACCAGCCGAACGCTTGCGCAATGCAATGTTACAACAACAACACGAAAAATAGCAAATTGCTGCATTTAACTTCTGGCGGTGAGTGATGAAAACAAAATTAAATATTTTTTTTGATTATTGTTTCTTTAGTATTCTAAATAACCATTTATAGCTTTTCGATAATTAACGGTTAATTTAGGACCGACTGAGCGCTGCAATTTGTTTGTCCATAACTTATTTAAGGTTGTCTTGTGGAGTTTTTGCATTCTTTCGCTGACTTTTCTGGAAATATTAATTTTACTTGCTGCTTTTCTTGAAAACTTTACTACCATTTTAACTAAATTAGTTTCAGTATGACTTTTTTTTTAATTTTTCCCTTTTATCAAGTGCTTTTGTTGCTTTGAGGTCAGGCTTATTCATAAAGCAAAAGCACAAGATAATCTGAAATATGGATTATATACCGAGTTAATAAAATATCTCTTCACCAATTACAAGTTAGTAGTTCTACTTCCTATCAAAGAATATTTTTGAGGCGTTTTGTCGATAATAAAAACATTTTTGATTAGCTCGAATATTTATTTGTTCTTTTTTCTAGTACTAAAACGTTCTAAAAGAACAATTTGTTCGCTATTCGCAATTCGCTAAAGCTACTTTCCTATAAGATCTTGTGCATTATTTAACAATAAAGAATGAATAAGAAAGCTTAAAGCCCTCAGAGCATTTAAAATATTTTAATCACGTTCAGAGTGATCATATCCCCTTATCCACTTGAAAGTCAGAAAAGAAGCGTTCTGTTTTTGTGCATTTGTTTTAAAGAGCTATTTTAGTTAATAAATAAATAAATTACATGTGTTTTTGCTGAATTTAACTTACTTTAATAAACGACGATTCATTTTGAAATATTTTGGATTCCCTTTATCCCGTAGCCGATTACCAGGAGGTCTTCCGAAATAAAGTGTCTGGCGGTGAGAAGTATTTTTCTGCTTAAAATTACGTCAAATCCAAAAATCAAAAAAGGTATTAATATAGATGAAAAAAGGTAATGATCGAACGACTAATTTTGATTTCCAGCAATATGACGGCTTTCCAAAAAAAGCATATTAAATTGAGCGGTTCAGCCGTTTCGGAGACATTTTTCCTCATCCACTCTAAAAAGAGCGTTTCGAGAAAAACGCGTTTAAAGTTTTGGCAGCCGATTACACTAAGTTAAGAAATTCTTACAAATATGAACATAGGTATCTCCGAAATTTTCTTTCCGGACAAACTTCTAAGTTTTGCAAAATATTTTTAAATATATATATAAATGATGATGGTGATATTAATCAATGATCTCCAAGACCATGGTAACCAATGCCGCTGCAAACAAATGAGAGGATAAATTAAGTTAACCTCTCCCCTCTCTTCTCTGTGAGTGATACGTTCAACAACGAGCTCAAATAAAGCAAACATTATCATAATTGTTTGTACTGCTGATAAAGATTTTCATAAATTTACCGGCTTTCATCGACCCAATTCAACTGTAAGTGACTTTAAGATCCATAGCTACTTCGGCAATGCCTACATATACAAAATTCAGAATAGACCTACGATTTAAAAGAACCAATAAATCTTAAACAAAATCATTGATCTCCCAAGACTCCACCAATAATTTCAATCCTTGAAAGAAAGATTCCACTATTAATTTCTAATCCTTGAAAGAAAAATTCCACCATTAATTTCTAATTCTTGAAAGCATGTGTTTAACCTAACTTCTCTAGAAAGGTATAGTGTGAGTCTTGTCTACTAATATTAATGTTAGAAATGTACACATAAGTAGTGAAGATCGCTACTTACTACTATGGGAATTATATTTAAAACAGTTCTTCAATAATTTAGACAAAAGAAAAGTTATTTATGAATGCCTGAGGGTCTATCAAAGCAGCCTAAGTCGGCGAGACATGGTACTATATGTTAATTGAACATTTGTAGCTCTCTCTACGGCTTGAAATGTAGACGAAAGGTGGAACAACCCATACTCAAGTGTTGGAAAATGTCCCAAACTTGTTTACGTTTTTATAGTCATACGGCTACATATATATAGGACATCGTTTATAGAAAATATGGTAATTCATCCTTTCCAAAAACTTATTTCCAATCAACGGCTGTGTTCTTGAAGTCAAAGATACCAGGAGAGGACCAGTTTAATGTGAAAATCAAGCTTGCTGTTCCGTAAAGCGAAGGCAAGGACTTGTGAGCTCATTGATCGGCGTAACGATCTCTTTGTTGGCTAAGTTCATAACATTGGAGCGACCATTTAACGGCGATAGATTTTTGTGGGGTATCGAAAAGAACTAATGTTATGTGAACAATGCATTAGCGACTCAGGCCCAAACTGGCGAAAGGCAGGTAAGTACATGCAGTCAGAAATGATCACCATAGTGTTGGTCAAGACAAATGTGAAATCATTCGAATAAAGCAAAAAGTAATAATATATCAAACCAATCCTATTTGTGTTATTATTTGCTTTGCTAGATCTTTTTAGAGGAAAACCGCATGAATCACCCTTCACTTACATACATATAAGAAATATATAGTTAATGAAATTTCCGCAGGTCTTAATTTTTAATAATGTGGCTATAAAAGTCACTATACATATTATATACCAAATATATGTATGTATGTATATATGCAATATTAAGCCCTGATGCACTAAATAATTACCTTTTCAACCTTTACATACTTCATTCAAGCTTTTTTATTAACTTTCAGTGGAAAAGATGGTGGGCAAGTCGATGTTGCCATCTCGTATTCATTGTCTCATGAAAAGGACAACGAAATAAGGATGGCAGTATTGAACGCATTTATAAAAAAAAATCCACTACATGCGAGTACATATACGCACGATGAAAACCGGTTCGCCAATACAAGTAGGTATTGAAATTTGTACATATACATATGTATGTATATTAAGTAATATTTGTATGTACATATATTAAAGCAATGAATCGAAAGTCAAATGGAGTAAATGCATCGAGAAAAAAATTCGCAGACAAAGAATTTATTATACCTTTTGTATATATGTATACTTCTACACTATTTACTATATAATGCTATCCGAAGTATGTATGTATATGTGAAGCACCTAAATGGTGCTCTTGGCAAATGGCTTATGAAGCAGATGATGAAAAGGAAGCCCTCATGTGGACATTGTGCAGATTTTATATGTGAAACGCAACAGCGCTGAAGAATATAAATACAAATTGGCTTGAGACGATTTCGTTTTCTTTTATGCATATGCTTATGTATTCATTATACTCTACTGATGCCATAAGAGAGTACACATATAGAGGAAGCGATTGCGAAAGAAGGTTCAACGCACAGCTGTTGAAAGTAAAAAGCACCATAATTATTCAGTATTGGAAACTTGATGCGGGGCATGATCATTTGATTCGGTGGTAGGGTCTTTGAAGAGATCAAGAGTGGGTTGAAAGTAGTCAAATGAGTGGCCAAATACTTTATTGGCAAAGTATCGGATATAAGAAACATGTTCATAAATTTCTAAGAAGCCCAAGAAATTATAACATATAAGCTTCGAATAGACCATTAAAAATTCCAAATTTCCTTTCAAGTTTGACAGTGATTATTATCTACTTTCTGTTTCTAAGTTTACGACGTTGCTTCGAAACGCATGGTTTCGTTAATTGCTGAAGCATATATTTATTTTGACATATAAATTTCCCTGTTACTTCTTACAAAATCCCGACCCTGCTCATATTTACTTGTTGTTCTGAAGGGGCTTGAAAGTTGTATGCCGAATATGAACGTCTGAAGTAATTTACGAGAATTTATTTATTGTTATCAGAAACCCATACTAAGGCTTGACTTTATCTATCAACACAATTAGAAAAGATTTCTAAACCCACTGGACTATGAAGCCCAATCGAAGAAATGATATTGCGGCTTAGTATATATAGCAGTATTTATCAATAAATTTCCTTTGTGGAGCCCTATGGATTTCAGAGTAATTTATCTAATGGAGACAAGAAACGCTTGCCACTTTTAGGAAATATTGAACTAAATAACATCACAACAGTAAGTTCTCATATTCGGAAAAGAATAAACTATAACCAGAAAGATGTAAGGTAGGGCTCTCCGAACGCTCAGCCTACAACCGATTGAAATGGAATATGGAATATTCTATTTGGTTCCAAGTTTTCCAATCTAATCGAGATCGGTCTAAGTCTAATAATTACTTAAGTACGACCTCAAATCAACCAGTGACGCTCGCTTCAATTTTTTGTAGCATTTTTTACAAAATCCGGAACTTTTTATGTTGGGCTGGACCAAAAAGATTCGAAAAGAAAATATGGTGATATGGAAATAGTGGTCCAAATAGCCATTACCGCAAGACTTTCTTGCAGTCATTCGCCTTTTCATCTACCCAACATGCGGGGGGAAATAATTTTCCATACATCACACTCGCAATGAAAAAAACAAAAACTTTTCGAGCTTGGTATTCCGAAAATTTTAACATTTGTTCCGTGGGTGTCTGTGTTATCGGAATCAATTATTATAGCATCAATCCACGAAGGCGGTAGCATACCCTAGCACTTTCGTCTTTCTTCTCTTGAAAAAACATACCTACAGAAAAACCTATCAACTGAACGAAGCGGCAACATAGAAAGACGGACACAGTGTAGAACGCCACAAAGAACACTGTGAGGCCGAGAAAGATGCGCGCCAACCAACTGATTGAATTGGTAACCACATAAATGGACGCATCTACATTGCGCTATTTTTAAATAATAAAATAAAAGTCGAACGCAACACAAAACACAAGAAACTTTAGAACATTTTCAAACGAAAACAACAACAACTAGAATAAAACAAAAACAAATACAAGACATAAAGCGCTAAGAAGCACTCATAATGAACGCGCATATGAAGAGCAACAAAAAAAAAATGGTGAAATGAGCAACGGACAGAGCAAATGCCGCCAACAACAACAACTACGAGTATAACAACAACGTGCACGAAACGGACGAAGTCATGTTGTTGAACTGAGGCATCATTTGGAGCAAAGCAACAGCGATAAATAAGCGAACGTGAGGTGGAAGATTTATTATACATACAAAACGATAGATACCTATATATGTATGTATGGAAGTGTATATACATACCACACGTGTTTGTGTGCATGCAAAAGTGATTAGTTAACTTTTCAAATGTTACCGGCAAAAGTCGACCTTGAATCATTGAAGCTATACCGCATAATTATTAAGTGGAATCTATGGGCTTTTGGCAAAATTTGAAGAGAGTCTTCTTTTTTCTATAATAGTCTTTTTTCTTCTTCGACAGCATATGGTTATAACTGCTGATTAGTTATTGGGTATCGCCATAATTCGGAAACTCGTAATAATAGATCTAACACTAGGCGCAAATACTGATCATATGTACCATATACTGCGTCTTCTACATAAATATCTATTTAATATGTGTAGGTATGTATGTTTGCTTATAATTATGCCTTTAAACTTTGTTTATAGTATGCTTCTATTTTACACAGCACTCATCTTCAGCACATTTACTGCAATGAAATTAATGATCACCTGCCCGACAGCTGTGCGTTTACAGTGTGCGACAGATAAGTAGTCGCTTAAGGGGTTATATCCACTTGCAAATCAGAAAAAAAGCGTAATTTTTTTGTGCATATTTTTTTTGAAGAAGCATATTATTTAATAAATAAATAAAACAAAAGTAAATATACAGAATTTAGTGTAATTTAATAATTGGCGATTCATTTTAAAATAATTTGAATTCCCTTGTTTCCGTAGTCGGTCTCCAAGAAGACCTCCGAAAAAAAGGGTCGGGCGATAAGCAAGATTTTTCTGCTTAATTTTTGTAATAAATTAAAAAACCAAAAAAAAACACTATTACTATAGATGAATAGAGCTAATAATCAAAGGACTAGTCAAAATTTTAATTTTTAACAAAATGACGGCTTCGCAAAAAAAGTATTTTTTTTGTGAAAAAATTTCCACTTCCGAGGTTTTATGGCACTCGAAATTATTATTCATCATAATTACACTTTACAGCTAAATTCGTTAGCCGCCAGAATGCTTTCAACTATTTTTGAGTCAAAATTTTCAAAGCGATCTTCAGACGTTATAGTATTTGAGTCGCTATTAAAACAATGTCATAGTAAGAGTTTTGAATTATATAGAATGATGATTTAAATGGGATAGAAAGTACGCAAATTAACAATAAGACAAAGTTTTTATTAGAAATATTTATAAAAGCTTTTATAAAAAACCCGCAGTTAAGCCAATTTTCCACATTGTACAAGTATATAGTAAATAGTATATAAATAAATACAATTGGCAATATCCAACTGTATATACTTGTATCAACAAATCAGTGACGTCGCACTCATAAATGCCTTGCGGTGAGGAACTGAACTTGTGGAACATTTTTGTGTGTTTATTTATGCGTAATTTTTATGAAGTTTTATAAATATTTTATAATGACTTTTTTATGTTTGGTATACAAATTTTTTTTTTTTTTTTTTTTAATAATAACAAAAATTTCAATGAAGCGGTTTTATGTTGGGTTTAAAATATTAAGAACAAAATGTAGAAATTTTGACGCACTTTTGAACAAAAATTATCACATGATTTTCAATATATCTCCATGACAATATAATTTCGAGATATTTGAAATTTGAATATATTTTCTATGCACAAATTTTCGGCAAATTGTAATATTTTTCAATTTTTTACAAATGAGAAGTAAGAAATTCTATGTATTGGAGTAATCAGAAGAGCATGTCAAAAATATAAGTATATACAAAAATATAAAAAATAAATATATACATATATATAGGTAATGATATTAAAGACTACGAAAAATATTCATACCACTTATTACAAAATTATTATTGTCTGAGCTTTCGAACTTTAAGTAATCTTTTGAAGCTTTCATTGAATTTTGACTTTGAATGGAAGCTTCGAGTTTTCGAACTCCGAACAGAGTACACTAAGTTTGCCACGAAGTTTTAACACCCAGAGGGATGGTCTCCGATGAAGTATATTTAAAAATGATCAGCGTGACGAGCTGAGTCGATTTAGCCATGTCTGTATATACGCGAACTAGTCCATCAGTTTGTGAGATATCGATCTGAAATTTTACACACATCCTTTTCTTCCTAAGAAGCGGCTTATTTGTCAGAAACGCTGATATCGAACCACTACAGCATAAAGCTGTCATAGAAACTGATCAATCAAAATCGAGTCTTTGTATGGAAAACTTTTTTATTTGACGAGATATCTGCTCCAAATTTGACGCGGATTTACTTTTGAAGGCAACACTATAATCGCCGAACATATTGTTCAAATCGGATCACTATAGCATATAGCTGCCATACAAATTGGCCGATCCAAATCAAAACACTGATCTTTTTCTACATTTTTGTGCTATAATAAATAAACCTGTGAAGGGTATTATAGCTTCCATGCAGTCGAAGTTAGGTTTTTTCTTGTTTTTTTTTTTTATTAATGTCTAAAATTCTACCTTCGGCCGTTCTGGTCTTCATCAACGTTTATTAATTTATACAAAAATTAAAACAAAAAAATTTAAAAAATGTGTATGGTAAATCTTCTCTACCGCCACGCATGCCATAAAAGCTTCCTGCGCCACACATACCTATAAAAATCTAGAGACCAACCTGTTTTCACATGCAACGCAATCGCTTTGTGGGCCTGTTTTTCATTTCTTTTTTAGTATTTTTTTTTCTTTTACATTTTCTTTTTTTTTTGCAGCGAAAATGCAGCTGCTTGCAATCAGTGCGCTTCACTATTATTTAGCTTAGCATGCATCGTGTTATAGTACATACAATATATGATGCACATGTGTGCTGTCGAAGCTTTTACGATGCCTCGTTGCCAGCTTTGTCTATACGCTTGATGAAAATGAAAAACATGAAATTATTCTTTTTCTACATATTATCATAATATTTAGACTTTGAGCGGTGTGTTGATGCATTTGTTTCTGGCATTACCTTCGAAATGCACTGCCACTACTTGTACGAGGCAACTTTATGTACTCGTATTTATATTATATTATGTGAGTGTGTGTATTTTAATATTAAGCAATAGTAAGTCTACGTAAGACAGAAATCTCGGGAAAACACTCGCACTCGAGACAATATTTTGCGTTGGCGAACTAAATAAATGATGTATTGCAGGAGAGCTGGATTGTGATGGGGCACACACACATATATGTGTTTATATATGTATGTATATATGTACATTGTATATACATGCAGTTTTGTAGTACAAAAAAATTTATAGGAGTAAATTCGCACCTGTGTATTTGTAAACAAACACATAACTATAGTAAAAGCAGACACATGCATACAAACAAACACACACACACATACAGAATATAGAACGCCATTTCGCCTGATGTCATCGAAATCAAGCAGACGAACAACTTACATATCTTACATACGACCACACACACACACACGCACATAACGATCACGTAAGCAACTTTGCAGCGGATGCGTCTCGTTTCGACGCCGGCGACTTTCATTTTCATAGTCTATTACAAAATAATGCATTTTCTTACTTTTATGTGCATTCCTTCTGTTAATATGCAACTTGTTATTTTTATTATTTTTAGTTTTTTCCTTAATTTGTTTATCTTAAATGTTGTAAAAAATAATAACATAAATTTGAAACCAGTAAGAGAGGGTTAAGTTCGGCTATAACCGAACATTTCATATGGTTGCAAGAATCAAAGGCGGGCAAATACCTTCAGGTGTTGGCAAAACTTTAAATTAAGAAATGTTGCGAAAGAATTCGACATTCATTATTCGAAAGAAATCGTAAAAGGATTTGCAATGAAATTTGATATCATATTAAGCAATTTTGAAGGTCATAGACTCACTTAATTTCATTATTATACTTTACTTGCTGCCAGCGAAAATAATACTAAAATCATTGGAAGCATAGAAATAGAAGGGTTGATTACATTAATTTTTGGCATTGCTCAGTTATACTTGAGAATTTATTTTCAAACAATTTTATAAATATATAAATATAAACATATGTATATACGGAATAAAGTCAGCCGGACGTTTCAAAACCGCAAATATCAGTTATGTAGGGGCTAAGGCAAGTTTTCGCCCGATTTTATCCATTTTAGGCACAAAGTTATACTGTTTTCTCAATTTCCTTAAAATAACTGACACATTAACCAATATATGTGGTACAAAGTGAACTGGAAGTTCGAAAATTTTTATATTAGATATATGAGTGCTAAGGGAAGTATTGATCCGCTTCAACGCATTTCTAACACAAGAGTTTATTATTATAAAAAAAAACTTTTTTCCGAAAAATCGGTGCATGATATGGCTTGAATAGTTTGGGTGATATATACATTACGGACGGACAGACAAACAGCCACTCGAATTTCAACTCGTCTCATCATACTGATCATTTACATATACATAACCATATATCTAACTCGATTATTTTTAAGTGATACAAACAACAGTTAGGTGAAAAAAACTATTCTACTCTGTGGCAACATGTTGCAAGAGTATAAGAATTGTAGTTCTTGCTTTGCTTGGTGATAAACACACATAGAGATTTTTGATTTTGGCATTCACATACTTTTTTCAAAACAATACTTGCGGCATTCGTCTGCCAGTTCTGGTTTATTAATGAATTGGTGGTCTCTCAGGCGTGGCGATAGCATTTTTGGCGCCAAACCACCCACAGAAAAATATGAAAATTTTGAAAATTAAGTAATAAAGCAATATTATATGGAACTGTGAGGAAAATTGGTTTAACAAAATACCGAAAGGTAATTAATGGATTATTTCGGAAACTTGAGTAAATTCAATAGAGCTTTAATGGTTATATCCAGGTATACGAGTAAATAAGGGGCACAACAAAAGCGCAATTTTCAGAAAAATAATATTTTTTTTTCAATATTTCGTTAAGATATACATAATACCTTTAAAAATGCCATACTAAAATTTTAAATGAATATTTCAAATACTTTTGTCTTGCAGGCTTTTATAGTGTAGCTGGTCAGTTCAATCAGGCAGGCCAAAAACGACCAAAATTTTGTGTAAATTCAACTTTTTTAAAATGCCGCTATTTTGCCATTTTTTGATTCTTTTCAATCCAGGCAATATCTTTTAGTAGAGACTTTTTTTTAGGTTTCAACCAGTCAACTCAACCAGAAAAAGTCCGGAAGCAGTGCAGTAGTATAGAACCTTTGGTTTTTTAGCGCCGTCGAGGATTGCGTGTTGTTCGAAAAAATGTTAATGTTTTTCTACAAAAATGTTTTTGTTTTCAGAATTACGATTTGAGAGCATATTTCTAAATCTTGCGTGCTTTCAACGAGAAATATGCCTTTCAACGGCTAGTAGATGCCGTCATAAAAGACCAAATCTGACAACAGCACCATCTAGGGTATGTGCTAGATGTGTTAGTTTAGCTTTGAAAAGTTCTATTTTGGAACAGTGCAAATTAGTTATCACAAATAAAAAACAATGTTATGTTTTCAAAGTATGTAGAACATGGCAATTTTATTGATATTTTATCCTGAACAGGGTATAATAAGTTTGCCACGATGTTTGTAACACCAAGAAGAAAACGTCAGAGTCCCAATTAATAA